AAGAAATATCCAAAAAAGTATCAAAGGACTGAGTGCCCAGAATGCTTTCTGACGCGCAGAAACAAACGAAAGACAATTTGAATTTCATTAAGCTGTTTGGGCCTATTACAAAGAGTATAAACCTGAAAGGTAACGTAGTCAACATTGAAAAATAAATGATCAGTACTTCATACTCATTATCACTTTGTATTTAACTCTCCTAGTATATACAGACGTGTAAAAAAGCAATGTAGAAAAAGCCCAATATTAGATGAAAATATGTAAAATGAGGTATTCTACAGAGGTAAGAAGATTGCATAATGTAGCAATTATGAAGCAGGAAAATTTCCCTTCATTTCTGCCTTACATTTGAAATAGGGCGTTGGTACAAAAAGCTTAAATAATTTTTGATGATGTATATATTATGAGATTAAAATTGTACGAGTCTTTCAAGAATTATTGTATATAGATTATAGAATTATATAACATCTCATTTATCTCCTAATCAATATGTTTAATTAAGAAAGATAAAGCGGTTTAAAACTTTTAAACTAATTTATAAAAAGAAAAGGATTTATATTTATATATAGATTTTTTAATAATTACGTAATTTGTCGAACGAAACGTTGCCGTGGCAATAAGTTATTATTATTTAGTTATTACTAATTGTTGTTATTTCTACTTTAATACCTGCAGCTGAGTTTAATCATCGGACGTCAAGGCAGAATACGACCTTCCACCCGTCACCTCGACGCCCATCGTTCAACAACTGAGCGTTTTTAAGGCAGTTTTTGCCGCGCACAATCACTACTGGGAACCAGCTGACTACTGATCCGAACTAATTCTACTTGGGGTCCTTCAAGAAAGGAGCGTACCAATTCTAAAAAGGCTGGCAACGCACTCGCGAGCCCTTTGTCATTGAGTGTCCATGGGCGGTCACTAAACATCAGATGAGTCTCCTGCCTGTTCTATAAAAAAAACTGTATCAATTTATCTTGACTTGTCCTCCGAATAGGTTGTGACCTACAGTGTGTTACTAAATCCCTTATTTAATTTTCTATTGCAATGTACATTACCTTTAAGTAAACATTGAATTATTATATTACGTACGTAGACATAAATACAATTAAGCTATTGATTCTATAATCTATATTTGTGGATGACATTTATATTCAGGGCAACGTACTCGTATTTAGTAATGATTTTCACGTATAGATGAAACCACATTTGAAATTGTGTTGTGGTCTAGGGTCGTCGCGTGTGGTTGACGTATGATGAGGTTTCAATTTAGACATCAAGCGATACCATATTCTAAATTATTAATCATTACACCCGTAGACTTAGCTAGTCGTAGTCACTCGCAGTGAGGCATCGTAGGGCTCCGTAGTTACAAAATCATACAATTAAGGTTGCTTTTCGCAGGCTTGCTTGCAGATAAACCCGATACTTCTTGTAGGTATTGCACGGGTTTTCCGAGAGTCTGATTTCGATCAAGAATAAGGCTACCATCAGAATGGTGCTTCTGCTATGTTTGCTAAGGCTCGAGTGGACAGTGTTGGGCCAACGCGAAAAAAGAGAGCTTCGCTGGAACGAGTTGCAGTAGTCAGGGCCTTCTGAACATAATCGCAGACAAGGGCAATTGTCGCCTGGTTGTCCTCGTTCAGGGAACATTATCGGGTATTATTTTTCAATGGCACATAAATGTGTTGTTTGTCGTTGTATTTTACATAGCTTTTAATTGAAAAAAAATGAAATTGTTGGAATAACCTTACTTGTAACTAAATTACGATATGGGGGATATAAGAATATTTTTAGAACAAAAACAAATAAAAGAATATAGAAAACTGCGTTCTTTTAACTTTAAATTAACTGCGAGCAAATTGAAAAGTTGCACACAAGATATAAAAAATAGCATTACTTTAAAGTTTATTTCTAGCGCGGAGTTGTAGAGTATTCTTCACGTTGTTAAGTTTCGTTGCGAGAGGCTTGCCATCGATCCGCCTACAAATTCTGCAAACTTTACGTAGTGTGAATTTCATTTTTAAAATACGACATAAGTCCCTAACTCTGTGAAAAAGAAATGCCAAGATAGCTTATGTAAGACAAAGACATAGATCTTATTTTAATTGACTGTATAGGTATAATGTTTAGCCTTTTAATTGAAAGCTATGTAATATTCTGGACTATATTATAGCATAACTTCCTCCTGTGTCAATCGCCGTCTTACTTAAATACTTTATCAGTGACACAAACAAATTTAAATAACAGCCGCGATGATAATATTTTTATTCAATCATACGCTGGAAATTACGTCAAGATGTTTGCATTTTATATTCAAACTAGCTGACCTGACAAACGTCGTTTTGCCATGTATATAATTAATAATAAAAATAGGAGTTGATGGTAGAGGGGTTGTATGTAATAGGTTGGGGAAAAAGTTTCTTCGCATTTTTTAAGAAAATTCAAAACATTTTTTAAAATAGTTTATTTACATTTAACTAAAGTATGTAGGTACCATTTCGTTCGATAACTTTTTGCCATCATTTAGGTAGAGACATGATCCCATTGCTATAGAAATTTTGGGGCTTCTGATCAAAATACCGCGACAATTGGTTTTGGCAGTCCTCTCGTGATGTTAACCTGACACTGCCTAAAGAATTCTGAAGAGACTGAAACAGGTGGAAATCTGAAGGTTCAAGGTCAGGACTATACGTCGGATGCATTATCATCTCCCAGCCAAGCTCTCTTAGTTTTTGCTGAGAGGCTAAAGATGTGTGAGGTCTAGCGTTATCATGATGAAAAACCACACCCCTTCTGGTGATTAATTCCGGCCGCTTTCTCTCAACTTCTTGCTTTAATCTCATCAGTTGTTCGCAGTAGAGTTCAGAATAGATGGTCCTGCCTGGTGGTAACAGCTCATAATGAATAATGCCCTTCCAATCCCACGACACACACAGCATCACCTTGTTGCGAGTTATCCCGGGTTTCGCCACAGTCTGTGTGGCCTGACCGGCCTTTGACCACGACCTTTTTCGCACGTTCTTGTCGTACGTGATCCACTTTTCATCATCAGTTATCAGCTTCTTCAAAAATGGTTCGGTTCCATTAAGTCGTAATAAAGAATTAAAAATGAGTACACGGTTCATTAAGTTTCTTACAGTGAGCTCGTGAGGTACCCAAATATTGAGCTTTTTTGTGTACCCAAGCTTTTTCAAATGCGCTTAAACTGTTTTGTGGTCAATTCCCCGTTCTTCAGCTACGTCGTAACTACTGATATGCCGATCTTGCTCCACTTTTTCAAAAATGGCATCCATTTTATCCCTCATAGGGCGACCAGAGCGACTTGGATCTTTGTCATCAAAATTTCCGGATTGAAAACGCTGAAACCAATTTGTGCTACTGTCACAGACACTGCGCTAGGGCCATATATATTAACATCACAATTTTTTTTCGCGGCTTGTGTTGCATTTTGACCTTTTTTGTAGTAAAATTTTAAAATGTATCGAATTTCTTCAGTCGATTCACTCCTCTTGACGGTACGAAAAATCAATAAAAAACAGACATTATCCTATTTTGATTTTAGAATTATCTTCTTTAAAATCTCAACATTCCTTGATAATAAAACCAGCCAGATACTTATAGTATAGCCAAAGAGATTTTATTACAATTTCATACATACTATAATGCGAAAATACTTTTTCCCCAACCTAATATTATGTTTTAATGCTGTATCATAAAAAAATAAAAATATATCTAAAAAAAAAAAATCTTAGGGGTGGACTACCCTTAACATTCAGGGGGATGAAAAATAGATGTTGTCCAATTCTCATACATATCCAATATGCACACAAAATTTCATGAGAATCGGTCGAGCCGTTTTGGAGGAGTTTAACTACAACCGCGGCACGAGAATTTTATATATTAGATTACTACCTCTTACTGCTTAGCAAACCTAAGAAAGTACATAATAAATACGTTATAAAATACTGAGCTGAAATAGTAGTTGAAGGATCAGCAATAAATATGTATATGATGTGGAAGCGAAGCCTTTGCTTGATCCGGCTTTGTTCCTTCACACTTATGAAATATTTACATTTCTATCGTCTCTTGTCTTTGTACTGCGGAACGTTATTTCTAGCCGTTATTATTATAGTATGTGTTGATATTATATAGCGAGAATCTTATGCAACAGTTCTAACTACGTACTTTTTTATAAGGAAATATTTGAGTCAATAAACTAAGTACATCTAGGATCGAAATTTTTTGTTGGATTGTACAGAAGCTCTGAGGTCCCGAGTTGATCCCATGGGGACTTGGGACTCCTTAGGACAGTATGACGAAATTAATTTAACTAATTCCCTAATTAAAGATTCGGTATTTAAAACTAATAAATATTTTTAAGTAATCTTATAAGTATGTTATACGTTATCGTTCTTGGTTAAAACATTTTTTTAGCTTTGCGATTCTCTAGTAAAGGAAATGATAATTAATTTTGACCGCCCAAAGGGTAAATATTGTAGCAGCAGTTAGCAACTATGGATCATATGACATAAATCTTTATCAAAATATTTCGTGTAAAGATGAAGACATCAATAAATTAATTACATACTTTAACACTACCCAACAAGTTAATTAGGACAATCGATAGCTGATTATAGCTTTGATGAAAGCTACACAATAGATTCATTCTTCAAAAGCTCGCAAAGGTATAAAGTAGGTTATCTTTAAAATTACCCGAATATAGAGACGCGAGGACACGAAGATGGTGAAATATGAAATATGGAAAAGCTACTTTGAATTGCTGTCGATTCAAGTGGAGAGACCGAAAACGAATTTCGAAATCTTCGAGTTTTAAATTCGCAACTACTTTAGCGAAATACGTTCCACTTTAAAATTTCATACCCTCTTATTTGTTATCATAACAGTAATGCATATTGGATATCGTATTTGTTAGAATATATTTAAAATAATTTAATATAGCTCTTATCCTGGAAGAAAAATAAAATAAAACAAATGTAAATTTAGTGCTTTGACAGCCTTTCATTTCTATAGGCGTATCTAGGTAACTTAATAAAATGTAAGTTATTTAAAAATAAGTACAATCTTCCTAACCTTAGTCCTGGCGCATCATCAAGCTGCGTGCCATCCGGTAGCTGCCAGGATATCTGCGGTGAGGGAAAGCCATGTGCTGCGCAGGAGACTCTAGAACCAGTACTATTTGAGAAGACAAGACGCGGTGGTGGCTCCATCAGGAACACTGGCCCATGTTCCTGCCCATCCCCACCTGAAATTTATATTTTAGTCCATTATATTGTTTTATTTTAATTAAATCTATTTAAACCTAATTACTAATAATTTGGTAGTATGTGCTATAACGCAACAGAGCTTTCATTAGCAATGGCTATTAGAGGGTTCTGTTCGCTACTATACGTATATATCCATACACAATTTTCGTTAGGGTTTCCTAGTTCTACAGTAGTATAATAGATAATCCTTAAATAAACTGCACTGAAACGCTACCCTTACTCCCCAATTGAAGCGAACCAAAATCGAGCAATACTATGAACCTATTATTAGTATCACTTCACGTGTAGAATAAGAGTTAATTATTCATACGAAGCCCACACTTTACAATACAAGCCATAATCTGGCCGCTATCAGTACAGTTAACTGACGTTTGAAATTCAAATAGCAGAGTGCAGTGCAGTGGTCATTCCAGTACCGATCTCGGCTACGGAATCTAAGCTTTAGATAATATCTCCGGGGTCTTCTAACGACGCGATTCAATTAGGTATTTTTTACTAACTTACTTTTAAATAAACCTTGTTTGATCCAAATAAATCGTATTTATTGTTTTATCCTCGACATCTTGAGTCAGCAATGGACCCGAGAAAGTCTTCCTGAATGTGTATGTACGTATTACTCTGGTAAACCGAACACTTAACATCTAAGTTACTGATCATACTTCAATATAATATAATTATTGCAATAAACTTAGCTGAGTTTCTGAACCAACGCGCGTTCTTTGACATGGCGTTGCAATCAAACGGAAGGCATTTGATGATCTAAATGATTGTACTAAAATAGTTATTGTTTACTTTATCGCACAAAATCAAAGGCGTTCTATTGTTATTGATTGATAGCACTTAATATGTCTTTGGAACAGTACCTAATCTTGATGGTTTATGATAATTTAAGACTGGACTACGTTTATATATTAATTTGTTTTGTTATTTAAAAGTATTTGTTAGTGTGTCATTCAATTTTAAGCAAAATGCGACCGGGAGTTTCAAATAATTGCTAAAAACTCACGCGAAACTATTGTATCAGATAACGTTCGTAACATATCAAATAAAATGGCTTTCTGCTACATATTTAGTTTCAAAACGTGGATTTGATAACATGGGAGAAAGTTTTGCGATTGAAATAGAATACGGTGTTAAGTTTTCAATGTGCCGAATAATTATATAACTAATATAATGTTCCTTCACAATATTATTACAGGGCTTTTCATCTTTTAGTCCGAGACTGAAGAAAATCTCTATAACAAAATACAGATAATAGTCCAAAACAAACAACCAAAACAGTAGGTTCGTAACACAACGTTCTAGAGAACGGTTTTTTTTTTGGAATATGTTCAGGGGTGTCCCCTGAATGTAAATCCAAGTGGGCGTCATGACTTAAGGCGACAAATGCTCTGCAAATTAGTTACCACTATTTGTTATTTATCATTTACTACATTAACTACATATTTAGCAAAAACCATATGGTAAAAAGTTTGAAGCGCTGCAAATAAAAAACTATGCATTTTACAGAAAAAAGGTTTTAATAAAAAAGATGGCAAATATTATTATCTATAAAAATGATTTTTGTCGTACGATGCGCGGTTCGCGAGATATTCGACAAAACGCGTTTTTCTAGATGGCGGCTGAAGCGAACCTTAAGTCATGACGCCCACTTGGATTTACATTCAGGGGACACCCCTGAACATATTCCAAAAAGAAATCCGTTCTCTAGTACTTTGCAAAAAAAAAACCGGCGCTTGGACTATAAGGTAAGAGAGCATTTATTCATAATAACCCAAGCTAACAATTAAGCCAATTAACAAAGCATCATAAATAACCCTGTTTACTCTTTTAACTATTTAGGCAATCTATTTGTCCAAAAATTACTCAAGAATTATAAACAATAGTTAAATCAAAATGTTGTATGTGAATACACACATATGGGAACAATAAACGCACACAATCACACGGAATTCCTTTCCCGCAACTCCCTCATGTATAGTTGAGCTAAGTTGAAGCTTTTTAGGTCACCGAGAGAACGGAAGTCGCAGATTAAAACTGGCTCTTATGAAAATTGTTTTTTTCTACTGCACTTGTAAGTTGCTTAACGAGTTACTGAGTTTTGTTGAACGTAGTTTTAGTCTATCTTTAAATTAAAATATCCTGTGAAGCCTATAAGATTGGAAAGTCAATTCAAAAGTTTTTAACCATATCCTACGATCCACGTTTTATAGACTCCTAGAGATGACGGTTTCCTTAAGCAAGTCTTGCGCACATAGAAAAATCCAAACATTAACCGCCGTGATTTGAATGTACGACTACAGGCTCTATTAAGCCATTAGGTTAACACTGCATTGTTACTCCGTAGTACTGTCCTTTTGCCAAATGTATCTTACATGAAAATAATAACTTGTGCCGTACCATTACCGCTAATCAGTCAATGTATGTACATGAACAGCAGTCAACAGTGGTAATCTTCCCTAGAGAATAAGACCTTAATATGTCAAAAAGTTTTTTTTTTAAAGGTAATTGGAGGCAAACGGGCAGTAGGCTCACCTGATGTTAAGGGATACCGCCGCCCAAGGACACTCACACTTCCAGAAGGCTCGCAAGTGCGTTGCCGGCCTTTCAAGAATTGGTACGCTCTTACCTTGAAGGACCCTAAGTTGAATTGGTAGTATAATTGTTGCCTTTTGAAAAATCTCTTCCTTAACTTATTCTAAAAAGTAAATTACAATTATTGCCCTGAATAAATCTCCTTATAAATAATGTATTACATTTCTCGAGATATTAATGTTTGATGGCAATGAAAGCCTATGAATAATTCCTCAAATTTAATTAACACCTTAAATAGATTACTTTAAGAAATGCGTTTAAAAGTAAAATTCAGACACCACGTTTTAAACTAGGTTAACTTAAAAAATAAATGACGCTAATGTACTCTTTAAAAAGTCGTTTCTTTCCGGACGAAAAATAGCACGGCTTAATCTGGTAAATGTATATTTTATAATATATGACACTCGCGTAAATAAAAGACAAACTTATAAAGAGTCACGCGCTCTCTTAAGGAGATGCAATCTTGACTTAGTTACGAACTTTTAAAACCTGCTTTCGGAAAGCATTCTCTGTAAAGATTTTTATAGACATTTGACAAAATGTTTAATATAATTTAGTTTAACTTTTATTTGAATTTAAATCGTTGCTTATGAGTCCTTTGAAGCGACAATGGCCAGAATATTGTCATAATTATTCCACAATGCATAGCAGTTTTTAAAAACACACTTCCTTAGATATTCATTATTCATCTCATAACCAAGACAACAAGAGCCAAGCGCAGCTACCAAAGCGAAAATATTTTACGCGATTATGTTCTCAATGGCTGAGTAATAAAATCTAAAACGGCCTGTACAAAAGAAATTAACATATAAACAAGGTGCGTTGTATTTTATAGTCTTAGGTTTAATGAAACTCTGTTCGGGAGCTCGTTACATTTTTATTAAGTGCTTTGATAGCATTTTTTGTTTTTAAGAATATAATTTGCACACAATCAAAATATTTCATTAAATATATAATTACTATTGATGCACATCAAATTATAGTCTCAAATACACATATGAAAAATAAACTCTTTTTTAAAGATTACACTGTATTATACGTAATCATTGATTTCTAGCTAAACGGTGAAATCTTTATTGAAAGAAGATTGCGTTTTTGTTTCTGTTTTGTTTTTTGTTGTAACGAACGGGCTGTAGAGTCATCTGATGTTAAGTGACACCGCCGCCCATGAACTCTCACATTTCCAGAAAGCTCGCAACTGCGTTGCTGGCCTTTGAAGAACTGCTACGCTCTTTTCTTGAAGGACCCTAAGTCAAATTGGTTCGGAAATACTTCAGTGGACAGCTGGTTCCACATAGTTGTGGTGCGCGCCAAAAACTGCCGTAAGAAACGCTCAGTTGTGGAGCAACGTCGATGTAACCATAAAGTAAGTAGTACTATACGATACGAGTAGTAATATAATAAAATAATACTTTTAAAATCAACCCATTCTTTCAGAATATTGAGATTTAAAATGAAACATTTTGGCCATGATGCTCGTATAACAGTAAATAGCACGGTTTCAGAGTTTAGTAAAATGTCAAATTAGGTATTCGCTTAAAATTCTACACATGTTCGCTTCGTATGCTTGATTCTAACGTTTTGAATTAATACCAATCAAAAAACATAAGAGCACTTGCGTATAAATTTAACATTGATTACTTGATTAATGCATCATTAAATTACATGTCACCCTACATATTATAGTCACGTAAATGATGCACATGTTCTTCAAAACTACATACCCATAACACATTGTGCCATTTTATTTTTTGTGTCCGAAATGGTTTATCCTTTGAGCAAAATGTTTGTATAAGTTACATTAGGGGAAGCGTCGCGGATCGTGACCTCCCCCCTCGGCTTTTCCTCAGTATTTATGAGAGCATGTTTCACTTCTATTGTTTATGGGACGTACAGGGTTGCTTTGTTTAATTTTACAATTTTTACCTCATTTTTAAGCCATTGTTCTCGCTGTTAGTGAATTATGTATGTTATTCGATCTATGGAAAGCTCTCAGAGAATACCTGTAACTAACTTTTATTGTATGTTGTTTTTTGTCGTTTGAAAGCATAAAGTGTGCCGTTTTGGCATAAATACATGCATGTCTGTAGGCTATTGAAAGCTACATTTTGTCGTGCGTTTAACTGTGGATCTAAGATCCCAGCTCGACTGGGTGTGTCAGGCACAGTGTTAATCACTTACTTCTCTTAAAATCAAGTTATCAAGAAAACAAGGCCAAGATCACGGGTTGCACCGACATTACTATTTATAAAATCACCCTTCTATAAAACTTCTCATCGATTTCGGAGTCCAATACATTGAATAATTCACAACCATTTTATCTAATCAGCTTCAGAGTAATAGCAAATGATCAAAAATTATTGCGACTGTATGCTTTTAGAAATTTATGAGCAACTATTTTGTGACTTAGATTTGCAATTAAAAGGGGCAAGGGTTCGACTCAGTATAACTTCAAGTTTAGGTTATAATGCTACTCGATTTATATATACATGTAATTATATAATATAAAATATATATAATAAATATATATATATATATATTATATAATGTAATTATATATTATATAATGTAATTATATAGTATAAATGTAAATGTATTTTTTTAATAAAATATACCCGCGTCATATTATTTTTATTGCTATATAAATTCTATATTAAGTAAACCAATCGTTTTTCGATACAATGTAGTGTAATAAATTGGTGAAGCCTTGTTTCGAATTATACTCTGCATTAAATTTGAAAGCGATTAATTCACGCTGATCGTTTATTGGACACTAATAGGCTATTACTAGTTAGAATGTAAATTACTGTATTAAAATATCTGCGCATGTTCAATAGCGTATGTTTATAAATTATTATATTATTTATACAGAACTTGAAACATTTCATACGTAATGTGACAACATAATATGACGTAATTAATTTCGGTTTTTCTCAATTTTCGAGATTACGACGTAGCCATGCTACGACGTAGGTCACCTACGGCTACAGTATAGTGCTACGGTGGCGCAAGTCTTTACTTGAATCATACTCTTGACTTCATTAGCATAGAACAAATTCTGATATCACCTCCGTAGTTTAATTAATAAGCTAGAGGTCTGTAAATTTGTTCAGTGAAATTACAAAATGTTTGAGATTGGTAATTACAAGACTAATGAATTACTTCACAAAAACGATTACTAAAACAGATACAACACTGTGTTTTTCGTATATTATGCTAAGGAGTTTCAAGAATTAAATAAATAAATAATAAAAATTAACGGTTCGAAAGCACCTTTAATAAGCTATTTTTAGCTTCATTACCATACAAGTGATACGGAAAAAAATAATACGTATACTTGGTGAGAGTAAATAATACACAATGGAAGCTCGGCGTTTTAACCTTTTCATTTGTGATTGAATAGAAGCCAAATTGCGCCTTTGTTTATGTTTTATTGTAACGAGGCCGCTTTTTCAGGGGAAGCCAATTAAAATGTAAATTGTACCCTTCTGGTGAGTTGAAGTGCTTAAGAAATATTGTTGTGTCTACCAAGCTGTATGTACAATAATTTATGTCTTCTTTTCTATTATATGTCTTAGATTTAAAATCTGCAGTAAAAGTAGTAAATTAATATTTTATATTTTATTTCTTATATAAATAACACCACCAATATGTATTAGCAGTGTTGGGTTGGTTACTTCAGCGTACTGCTCTCATTTTTGTCGTAAGATTCGAACCACGGCTGTGCACCAACGGATTTTTCTGTTTATATGCACACTTGCTCATACCATGAAGGAAAACATGGTGAGGCATGCCTCAGACCTAACAAGTCGACTGCGTGTGTGAGGCACAGAACGCTGATGACTGACTTGTCTATTAGAAAAAACGAATGATCACGGAACAGATACAAAAATCTGTGACGCAACAATAACATAACTAAATTCACAAATTACATATTTAAAGAAATCATATAAATTAATGTATATTATACTAATTTTAATATCTCTCCCTCGTGAGTCCTAACATTATTCAACATGCTAATCTGTTTTTAAAGACTAAATTAAAATCTAACGTACAATAATTATACACACCTATATAATAAAAAGACGCAATGAAAATTGCTATGTTTCTTATGTAAGGCCACGCCTATAAACAAACAGATCTTCGTACAAATAGTTATTTTATTCGTACGATAATGAAATTAGACGATAATTTATCGTGTACATAACGTATAGAGAAATTTCCATAATTTATCAATGGGAAGAAATCATGTGTAAATCTTTCTTCTCATCTATCTATTTGATATAAAAATAATACATTTTCATAGTTTTTGTATTGTATCGACATTTGTAAAATTTTTGATTGATATAATAATGTATATTTTACATATTGTCCACTCTTCGTAATATTTGACAAGAAAGGAACATGTTACTTTGGGACTAAGTTTTAAATATAAGATACCTGTTGTATTCTATATAATAACTCAAACTCAAATTCAAAAAAACTTTATTCATTTAGGTAACCAAGTACACTTATAAACGTCAACAGATAAATGTTAAATTGGTTCTAAATTTAAATTTACTACCAGTTCGCAAGTCAAGGGCGTAGAGCGGGCAAGAGGAACTGGCCAGAAACTCTCCGCCACTCTTAATCGCCAAGTTTTGAGTCATAAAAATTTGTAATTTGTTTGTAAGGCCAGCCATAAATATTTAACAGGCTTCTTTAATTAATATTTAAAAAAGATTATTACTGATTCCACGACCTTGTTGACAATAAACGCAAATACGATAATAATTGTCAGTCAGCCTGGAAGAAGAAACTTGAAACAAGATTATGTAAAGAAGTCCTTACTTACCCATTACAAATAATATAATAGCTGACACAACCCATGAGTCCATTTTGTGCGCGTCTCACATTGCTGGCACAAGGTTCTTATTCTGAAATAAAAATATGTAATTATATCATATGTTTGAAATATAGTAACCGATGTCCGTCATATTTGAAGCCAAGTGTGCGTACATACAGTGACCACTGGTCAGCATTAAAATTTTTCTCGAAAACATCTTCATTTATTAATATCAAGCTTCCCCCGCAAATTTCGTTTCACCTTAATATTTTTTTTACTTAACCTACCTTTTTAGTTGCTATGGATAATTTTCCTACCCCATTAAGATATTCCGCTTTTCCGAAATAAAATCTGTTTTTTATGATTTTCCATGCAATTTTCCTTATTGGTGTTCGAGTTTTGCACTAAGCAACATATTTTGCGATTATTTTTTTTTATTAAATAGTAACATTCTATATGTATTCATTTTCCCAATACGTAACGTATTAATATAATTAATAACTTATATTTTCTATTAAACGCAAAGAATCATTTTTATTTATTTGTGTTATCATGTCGCATTAAAATTATCGCTAACCATTTTACCAATTTACAGATTTTGTTATTTAAAATTTATTAAACCTTATAAAAAAGGTATAAATCTAACTTGCAAACTTGGTGATGGCTGGTAGTAAGTTGATAAACGACAGGGTGGATAAGACGGCTTAATTACACAGAGTTTTTACGACCACGTTGCGCTGACAACGCGCAAGAAGAGGTTGTAACATAAAACAATTCAGTGTTTTAAGTTTATTCTCTTATACTAGAAATTTTATTCTTAAACTTTGGTATACATAAAATGATAAAAAATACTTTTTAAATATGTTTAACTTAACTTTCAGGGTCAATTTTTGGGTCAAATATATGCTGGTTTACTAATAATTTGTTTATATATGAACATCATTGATTGTTTGTCTATTATCAAGTATGTGGTCAGCCATGACACAGATTTCAATCAGAACACGTCATCTATTATTTTAATGTTTTTAAACCAATTGCGCATGTGTAAATAAAACCTATTCGTTCAAAGCCGTAATTCAAACACATAATGGTTGGGAATTGCATACTTACTATCAAAGAAAACTTTTACTACCGCAATACTATGGAATCAAAGTATTTAAAAATTAATAACATTATAGTATATCACGCATCAGTACACAATGTATGCAAATACAAATACGTAAACTTTTTATCTTTACATAAATTGCACGGAAATAAATAAAAGTTTATCTCGTAATCTATGGAAAATATAAAACATTTTAATACCAAATAATTTAACTCGTAACTTGATCATTATATTTTCGAACAACAATTTGCCTATCCTACAATATTTTACAATTTTCATTTTAAACCCAATCCAATTTGAATTTTAAAGTCGAAAGCATAAAAAAAGATATTAGCGTCAAAATGAAATGTAAGGTTTGCAATCAATTATGCAATCCACAACGAGATACTAAAGGAAGGTGCTCAAAGCGTTCGACAAAATCTAATTAGGTCCCTCCATTAGCTGAGTATCATCAGTTTTGTGTTTTATTATAATTATGGGGAATTTCAACTTGATCAGATTAAAAGCCTAATTAAAATTATGACCATTGTAAAAACAGCAGTATGTTAAATCTTATTTCTATATTTAATTTATGTTTAAAAACATAATCTAATACATATCAAATTCTCGTGTCGCGGTGTTTGTAGTTAAACTCCTCCGAAACGGCTTGACCGATTCTCATGAAATTTTGTGTGCATATTGGGTTTGTCTGAGTGTTGGATAACATCTATTTTTCATCCCCCTAAATGTTAAGGGTAGTCCACCCCTAATTTTTTTTTTAATTTTTAGATACATTTTTATTTTATTTTTTTTATGATACAACATTAAAAAATA